ATGTAACCCTTGCAGTGCGAGGGTAACCCCACTGCAAGAGTAAGTGCTCATTTTGTCTATGGGGGGCTCAAATAAAGCGGATTTACTCCCCTGATCCTCAATCCCAGCGCTCACCTCTCTGCCCCTCCGGCTATAGAAGTTTTTGATCTTCCTGGGAGTTCTCCTTTAAAATCGACAATGCGGTCATAAACATGGAGCCAAAAACCACACTCGCAAACCTGCAGACATGAATAAATATGGCAGAAAATCTCCCAAACTTGATTAACCCCTTCATGACTGAGGCCCTTTTTTCCATTTTTGCAATACAGAGTACCAGGTTGCAGTGCTGTGTCCTATACACTGGCTGCAGTGGGGCGGGGGTGGCCCCCCCCAAAGACATGACTACTGTGAGGGCCAGAGAGGACCAATCTGTGGGGGTGATTTCTAGTTCCCACATTTGCTAGGAAACTGAAATTACCCGTTAAAGTAGAACTGATGCCAAGGCTTGGATGGAGCAAGGGAGGGTTATAACCCTGATCGGCCTTTCCTTTGGGGAGATTTCCTTCTACTTCCTGTCTGATAGCCACAAGAGGAAATGACAGGCAATTCCTCCAAAGAGACGGAAATGTCTAGTATTCGCCGGAACTAGTGTCCCCCCATTGGAAGATTTGCCATCTATTCCTCTTCTGGCGACACAAATCCGCATCACGGTCTGCAAAGTAATACATCCTCTGTGACCAGACTGGATGCGGCAGTACAAGTGCGCCCCCTGCTGGCGGAAAGTTGCACTTCACTCTCCACACTATAAAAATGGCTTTGCTGCCGACACGACCCGATCCTTATTATATTATTACATGATACGGGATTGCTATAGCGCCAACAGATGGCGTAGCGCCTTACGATATACCGTGTTTCCCCGAAAATAAGACACTGTCTTATATATTTTTTGGCTCAAAAAAAAAAAAACACACTAGGTCTTATTTTCGGGGTAGGTCTTATTTTTTTTTTTTTAATGTACAACAATCCAAAGTTAACGCAAATCCAAATTAAATAATCCAAACTGGCAAAGTTAAGAATATGGTGAACAGTAGACATGTGCACTGCCAAAAAATTCGTTTAGTTTCATTTCGTTTTAAATTCGGATATGTGTTATTTCGTTTTTCAGGATTCGGGTTTGAAAGTCAATTCGGATTCGGACGAAATTAGGTAGCATTAGTACGAACGGTCGTTTCGTTTCCTGTTCTTATTCGTTTCGTCCGTTTGCAGCAAAAGTGACATTTGAGGGGGAAAAAATATTTTTCTCCTTCTCTAATAAGAAACGAAAACGAAACGAACGTTCGTACTAACGCTACCGAATTTCGGAAATGGAAATTCGGATTCGTTTGCATTCGTTATGTCTGTAATTCGAAATTCGGATACATCCGAATTTCCGAAAATTCGTCCGAATTTCGATTCGGAACGAAACGAATCGCACATGTCTAGTGATCAGGGCAATCAGGGGTGCCGTACCTTTCCAAGAGCTATTTGGTAACCAATCGCTGGTTAGAATGAGCGAAGCGCGCTTTCACTATGGATTACTCACAGGCGGAGTGTATTTGGTATCACTCCGCCTGTGACAGGAGGCGGGGCTATAGAGGAGGCATCGGCTTATGCGGCTCTGCTCCCTCCGGTGCCGCCTCGCTTCCTCTAACGCTGACTTCGTTGGCACCGCTGGTTCTCTCCCGCGGCTCTTAAAGTTCCCCCCTTATGCCACCGTCGGCCCTGGGAATGGTCACAACTAGGTCTTATTTTCGGGGTAGGTCTTATATTTTAGCAATTCCCAAAAATAGTACTAGGTCTTATTTTCGGGGAAACAGGGTAATTACAATGACTTCAATCTGCGCTATGCAGAGGCTTAGAGCACAAAAGGTCATAGACGAGTATTGTGTGAATGAGAACACACTTTGCTTCTTGCCTGCAGAACGCCTCAGGCCACACCCACAATATGGTGCTGGGACTAAAACGACTGACGACACAGAAATCAAATAGCTGAAAGGGGCAGGGCCGGGGACTGCGAGGATGAGGAGGAGAGAGCCAGATGATGCCAGAAGTTGTCCAGCCTGGAAATGCCGATCACCCCACAGAGATCACGTACCTGCTTCTGGTTCCACTTGAAATCGGGGAGAAGGACGAAGCCGTTATCCGGATCCGGGTTCTCGTACACAATGCGGTCCGCCTCGGCCTTCTTCTCCAGGATGTTATAAAG